TCCTCTCCTTCATGTGTTTTTACCTGAACTCCCACACTGCAGTTTTTTGTATTTCCGCTGAAACTTTATAACCAGTATTTACTGAATGTAGTGACATTCAGTAATTTAGTATTCTATACAAGTGCACTTGCTTTTTTTTTTTCTTCCCACCATGTTGTCTGCATGTGAGAGAGATAATCAGGATGGAGAAGGGCATGAATATCTGGGTTAGAATCCTGAGTTCTGTCATTTATGAAATGAGGGACCTTGGGTCAGTCAACCAGCCTCCTTGTTCCTCACTTGCTTCATTTATCAAACAGGACTATTGGCAGCTCCTATCCCTTCGGGTTGCTGTGAGCATTAAATGCAATGATACATGTAAAGCATTAAGTGTACAGTTCCTGGCACATACTAAACACTCAGTAAATGACTGCTCTTATGTTTTTCATTAATATTAGCAGCACTCATAGAATATTTTTTTCTTGCTTTTGTTCAGACATTGCCTGAAATTAGTTATTTAATTTCATTGCTTTGAGGAAAAAGAAGCTATGAAGCCATTGCTTTGATAGACCCACTTTTTGAAGACACAGCTAGAATGGGTGGTGTGTAAAAGGGTGGAAAGTCATTGGATTTCTATAGATTCCTATGGGGCTTTGGAGAGCTGGTCAGTGCAGCAGAGGCATCCTTGTTTAGGCTCTGTAAACTTAACTGAGTCACTCAAAAGATACTTTGTTCATGCAGGCAAAAGTTACACCCCCTAAAGGAAAATAGAATTAAAAAAAGGAATTTTAGAAGAAGGCAGTATATCTAAAAATATTCCCACTACCAACAACAAAAAATTTGGCTGGAACACCTGGATTTTTCTGAGTATAATTTTAGTTAGGTAAACATTGAAAATATATATTTTCCTAAAAGAGAAAAGAGCAATTTTATGGAAAATGATGGTTGGTAGTAATCTTCTGATTCAGAAGATTAATTCTGTAAAAGATTTTCCTTGTTTTAAAGAGTGAGAGGTTGTGAATTTGGACAAGTTGCATTAATGATGATCAATACTCACAATCACTTAACTGGTAAGATTTACCCCCAATGAATCTTCTTCGTAGGATAATTATCTAAGGATATAGACCTGTAGATGTGAACTATAGTGATTAATTACGTGGAGTTAAATGAAGTGATAGCTTTACTATGTGAGCCAAAAAATATATATTAAAACCATATTATAGATTCACAGTTATCTAGGATATGCTTTATTAGGCTTTAAAAAAATAGGTAAACTCTCTTGGAAGTAAGCAGAAATATATTCAATATATAACTAAATTAAATGCCTAGCAACATGGCACTGAATTTAAGGGAGTGGATTATGGTTTTGTGGTCAAATTATTTTTGGTATGGTGAATGTGAATTCAAAAGGAAGACTATAAACAAAATTCTGAGAAAAGCTAGGGAATAAGATTTAAGAGCTACTTAAGTCCTTGCTAGACAAGGACAATAATACAAAGACATAATTTACTTTACTTAGAGGATAAGAAAAATGAAGAGAAACCCAGATTATTTGAGGCTTTACAACCCGATTTTATATTTGTAGGTGTACACACTCACACCGCCCCACACACACTCAACATGTATTAACATACCTACCAACTTCACATATACATCCAAATAAAAGGGGGTGGTGAACATTTTCTGGACAAGGAGTTGAGCTGAACACACACCCATTTTTAATAATAAGGTCTGTTAGACTTGAATAGCACAACAGTCTGTCAGGGAAGTGGTGAAATCATCACAGACTGTTGAGTGATTCAAAATTAGATCAGACAAAGCACTTTAAAAATACACTGTAGGAAACAATCTAATGCTGGGAAGGCAATAAGAAAAAAATGACCTAAATCGGTCTTTTCCACCTCTAACTTTTAATGTTTTCTTGTAGTTTAAAAATAGAAAAGTATAATATTTATAGGAGTACTGAAAGTTGATATCTGGACTCTGAAGAGCTTATTATTTAACATTAATATTTTTGACTTCATGGCTTTGTTGTAGAAACAACAGAAATGTAGCTGTATTTCTTAGTCCTTTCTTCACTGATATGAAATCAACAATGAAGAAAAGGCTCAGCGTTCAGGGTACCATTTATTAAGCGGTTGATAGATTAGTCCTTAAAACTTAAATGCCTACCATTTATCCTTTGTAACAGACCTTGAATGTTGTGGTAAAAATTAAATAGGATTTATGTTATTTTTTCTATTATATAATGCCATTATAACAGGTTATAAGCATATGATGATGTTGGAGCATGATATAGAGATTCTTTGGGAATTATAAAAGAGGGGAAATTGGATGAGAAGCAGCTTCTAGAAGGATTATTTTTCATGTTCTCCCTGACTCCCTGATCTTAAATAATTGGCAATCAGATGCAATCTCTTTATGTCACTTGATTTCTCTTATCTTCAAAGGAACTCAAGGTACTACACAAAATGGGTCAAATTGTTTGAAGTGAAAGGACTCAATATTTTTTTCTAATAGTTCTCATTTGTGCTTTTTTTCATTTAACCTATAGTGATTTGCTTGGGTCGCTCTTGCTTACCTTTGGGCAACCCCTGTGCTCATGTCAGACAAAGAAACTTTAACCAGAAGTGGGAACTTAATGTTCTCTGCAGTCAGCCTAAGTGACATTTTGGATAAATCATTGCTTAAACTTATAGCCCCATGGATCAGTTGTCTGGAACCAGTCCTGACAGGGGCCTCCCTTTATCTGTAGGTTGCTTGTAGATCAGCAATGTATCCTCTGCATTATCCAAATGCTGCTTGGCTCACTAACCACCCCTGTCCCATGTGACTGGTTTTATATAAATGTCACAGAAAATTGGCTTAGGCTGACCTCTTTTATAATCCCTGTTTCTCAAGATATGCTATTTGATACAAAGTTCACTTATGTGCAGAAAACAGAGACAAAGATCATTTGTCCAGTTCTTAAAGTTTGCTGTGGTGGGGAGGCAAAATTAAATGACCACTTCATTCTCCTCTGTGAGTAGTGATGGTGTGGAGGTACTGAACATGGGCAATATTTGCCTTGGAGCCTTACCCCACTGATGGATGGGAGATGGTCAAAAACATTTGTTGGATGAATGAATGAATGAATGAATGATCATTTCAAAGTAGGCTAAATTTTGGTACTACACTTTCTTTTATTTTTTTGTACTACACTTTCTGCATTCCTTCTTGAGCAGTTGACCTCTTAGCGTGGCTAGCTCCGCAAGATCTGTAAAAACAGGGAAAGAGAAATAATTGAAATTTAGTGCCAAAGGAATAAAAGTGACAGTGTTATGTCTAGCCATCTTTTGAATCATGAGCGTATGTATTTTCTTTGATTAACCTTAAACTATTCGACACGATGTATTGGGGGGAAAATCTTGGAATTTTGGAGACAAATATACCTGTGTCTACACTTGATCTTAGCCAAAAGGCTGAGAAGCAATAGCTGTGTCTAAATCTTGACTTTGCTACTTAGTTATATCTTACTCAGAGTGGATTTTTTTTTTTTTAAGATTTTTATTTATTTGACAGACAGAGATCACAAGTAGGCAGAGAGGCAGGCAGAGAGAGAGGGAGAAGCAGGCTCCCTGCCAAGCAGAGAGCACGATGCGGGGCTTGATCCCAGGACCCAGGGATCATGACCTGAGCTGAAGACAGAGGCTTAACCCACTGAGCCACCCAGGTGCCCACAGAGTAGATTTTTTAACTTCTCTGAAGCTCAATTTTTCTTCATAAATATGGAGAAATTACCTTTTGTCTTGGAAGCTTGTTTTGACGTAAATCAATTCATACAGTGTGTATGTGTGGGTCTCAACAATAAGAACTTTTCATCTTTTGGAGTATCTTCTAGATGCCTGGGTGAGGGCTGGATGGTGTATAAATATTTTCATTACTATCCTCACTAATTGTACAAGGTACAGTGCCATAATATCATTCCTATTATATAGATAATTAAATTGAAAGTCAGTGATGTAAAGGAATCTACACAATGTCATAGAGATTTGACTTGAAACTTATCTAATTCCTAGCCTGAGGCTTTAATTTACCCTGATTAATAAATATCATTTCTTTTGTGCCCAAAGGAAATGGAAATAACACAGTTCTCCCTTTCTAATTAATCTGTTTACTTCTTCTATAGGATAGAAACCCTATCCCCGTAATAAACCCCATTGGGCCCAATAATTTTGTTCATCCTGCTCACTTATTTAGAATCTAGCTGTGGGCTCCATATAGGTAGTGCTTCTTGTTATCATTGCTTGATGTCACATCTTTTCAAAAGATTTATTCCATGTTATTTATTTCAGGTTAGATAGTATAATTCTAAAGTCCAAAGAGGTTAGAGGATGCAGTAAACTTTTAGAGCCACTGAGATAACTTAGGTTTTCTATAATCCAGCTGGAGGAAAAAAAAAATGAGCCATAGCCTTTAGGTATATAAAAGTGCAGTGGAGGGGTGTCTGGGTGGCTCAGTTGTTAAGCGTCTGCCTTTGGCTCAGGTCGTGATCCCAGGGTCCTGGGATTGAGCCCCTCATCAGGCTCCCTGCTCTAGGGGAGCCTGCTTCTCCGTCTCCCACTTCCTCTGCTGTGTTCTCTCTCTTGCTGTGTCTCTCTCTGTCAAATAAATAAATAAAATCTTAAAAAAAAAAAGTTCAGTGGTTTCTATCTTCTGCCATGAATAGAGTCAGAGATTCTTCTGGCCATGTGTCTACATATGATGTCAGTGGGAACTTTGAATATTAAGGGTGGAGATGTCTAACTTGGATGATCTGACTTTGGAGCTGTTAGAAGCTGGAAATTCTTTTAACCATGGCTGAGTCAGAGGGATATGAACCTTGGACTTCCTCTGACAGTTGCCTTTAATTAAATGAGCCTGGCCTTATTAGATTCTGGCAAGTCAGATATTTAGAAAGCACTAATTCTTCAGAAATCTTACTTTCCCAAGTTTTGTTTTCACTCAGCATCTTAGATTTTGTTTTCACTTTCCATTTTCAGATTTATAATCGCTTAGATACAAATTGCTGTGGATTCCGACCTCGAAAGGAAGATGTCTGTGCACAGAATGGTCTGAGGCCAAAATGTGACAACCAAGATTCTGTGGCTCTAGCACATGTTATCCAGCGAAAGCATGACCCAAGGCATTTGGTCTTCATAGACAACAAGGGTTTCTTTGACAGAAGTGAAGATAACTTAAACTTCAAATTGTTGGAAGGCATCAAAGAGTAAGTTTTACGATGTAGTAGTATCTATGGGACATCACATTTCTATTAAATAAGTGGCAAGGTTTTGAGAAAACTCAAATGCTATGTGTGACTGATCTAACCCTTGAAAAAGAATTGTGGATGTGGAATCCGGGGTTGGAGGCCCAGAAATGGGAAACAGACCTAAGCAGAAAAGAACAAGACTGCAGCCATGGTGTCGCTTTCACCAACCCATGCAACCTACAAAATTCCTGCTATGCTTCCTTGGCCCCTACTGTGAAAATCCATGTGGGTAAAGTTGGAAGCATGCAGGGACCTCTGGAATAGGAACTGGCAAAGTAGGGATACGGAGGCGGCCAGAAGCTCCATTATCAGGGCATGGGGCAGGGGGACTAACAGACACAGATACTGATGTGGTGGGATGTCCAAAGGCATAATAAACTCAAGAGATTTTTCTGAATGTGGCAGGAAATTGGAGCTAATCTGCTGATTAGGACACAGTATCAAAGGACAGCAGCTGTTTTAGTTCAGTTGGGAGGGTTTTGAACATTTGGAAATCTTTCTCGTAGACATAGACGTAGACATAGACATAGGGACAAAAGTATCTTGAGCTTATCTATTTGGAAATAAAGGAAACTAATGCATTTAATAGTGGCAGGAACCCACTGTAAAGTCTGGGCCATTCAATTTTAGCTATAGGGATTGAGGCTAGATTTCAGGCCCCAGCTCATAGCCACTCTTTCATAGCCTTCCTACCTTACTTAGAAATCAGAGTGACCAAGACATGGGTATGTTTGAGACTTGGAAATAGAGGGTGCATTAGTGAAAGAGTGAACCAGCTGTATGAAGCTAAGTGACTCCTGGAGAGCACATGAAAGAGTCTAAAATTGAGAGTAGAACCCGAATCTTTTAAATCCAAGTCCAATCATTTTTCTACGGTAACTTGTGTTATTCAAGCTGTTCCTTTTATTTTTGTTAACAACACTCTGAAGCATGTTTCATTATTTCTTCCTAGCACTCCGCATTAGGTAGTGTGGCTTTTGTGTACTTCCAGGACTAGAGACAATACTATTCCCATGAGAGTTTCGTGAGCCCCAGTTTCCTGAGTTTTTGCCACTTCTTGTCCATTAATACTCATTCTCACATCTCTTTGTGGATTGAAAGTAGAATATATGACAGATTCTTTCTTTAAAGTAGCTAAACTAAGGGAATTTTATGTGTAGAAAAATTGACTGAAGGCATCACTTACTGAGTTGATATTGGGGGGTCTTCTTAAGTCTTTAAATTTTCTCTTGGAATTAGGAGTGCCTGAGAATATGGTTCATCTATTCAATACATTCATATTATTATGAATACTGTTTTATTTATCCTTTGAAAGAAGTTAACTTTAAATGCAATATGAGGAGTAATGAGTCTAGAGTCAATTTTTTTTTAATAAGTAAGTCACACATTGAAAAGCAAAAATGAAGACTCTGCTAGCCCAGATTTATGCATAGAATATTCCTATTAATCAGTGTAATGTATAGACAGATACTTTTAAAATTTTCTTTTGTGAAAAGGATTAGTCACTAAAGAGATCCATGGTTTTCACGGTTTCATCTCATACATTCTGGTACAGCTAAATTAGTTGAAGGGTCATAGAATTTATAAATCATGGATTATTAATATTTCATAGAGCAAAAATGCTCACTTAATTAATACCATAGCCACTAAATTATATAGTACATGTCTTCAGGGAGCTCAGAGCATCTTATCAGCATTAATTAATTCCACACCAACTCAGAGTCATTAAGCACGTCCAGCTCTGTGCCCTTTGGTCTTTCTGCAGCATCAGAGCACTTGGGTCCCTTGCATTCTTGCCCCCTGAATGCCATCCTTAGCTCACTCCACTGAAATTTGGAAAAGGCATTTAGGAGGACTGAAACTTCCAGCAAACTGTATTCTTTGAACAAGGTTATATTCTTGGTTTAGTTGTTAAGGAGCAACTACATTTGCATGAAATTTACTATGCAACCCCAGTATTTTTACTGTGCTTTCATCAGTATTTCAATGAAAGCTGGATGGGGTCAATTGGAGATTCAGCAAAACACTCCTTATGAAACTTGAACCTTGATAAATTTCTTCAGATAACGTACATGGTAGGCAGCTTGTTTTTACTTTCTAAATGAAAAGCAAGAAGCACAAAGCACTCTCTTAAGGTAGTTCAACAAGGACCCTTCCAAATTGGCCCCAGGTGTTCCAGAGGTGGGTCACAGTGGAATGCCTGCTTCTAAAACGTGAGTTTTGTTAAATTTATTCGAAAACACTTCAGTATTCCAATTTAGTAAAATGCTCCCAGATTCTCAGAATTCCTAAAGTATAATCTGAATCAGAAGTAATTCTTTATTTAATTGAGCATTATGGAATGATTCCTTTCTCTTCTTACCACCTACATTTCGGATTATTTTACATTAAATTCAGTCATGCATTTGTCAGCATTTTGCTTCTCATATTTTCTTGCATAAAAACCCCACGTTGACGCTTATGAGGATACTATTCTACTTGACAGATTGAAGTGGTTTCTATGGGTGAAATGGAGCTTAAGATTGAGGAACGTATTTTTGCCAGGCTAACAGAACATTTTTTAATTCCACGCCTCTCTTTGCCTACAGATACTGACTTTAAGTAAGATGTTAGTATGTCAGGTTCTCAAGGAAAGTTCAACATAGAAAATTCAGTTCCCTTGAAACATTCTTCTAGTATATTATTATTAAGAGAAGTGTCAGCTTGACAGTGACAAAAATATTTTCATTCTCCAGGTACTATTTGATAGCGTGATTTATGCCAGATTAATGAAAGGCAAAGCAATTGGGTAAGGCATAATATTTCTAAGCAATTACTAAGAATGAAATATCATTTTATCTTCTCAGGTTTCCCGAATCTGCAGTTTCTGTTTTGAAGAGCCAGCACTTACGGCAGAAACTCCTTCAGTCCCTGTTTCTTGATAAAGTTTATTGGGAAAGTCAAGGAGGCAGACAAGGAATTGAAAAGCTTATTGATGTCGTAGAGCAGAGAGCCAAAATCCTTCTTACCTACATCAATGCACATGGGGCCAGAGTATTACCTATGAATGAATAAAAGGATCTTCTGGTTAGATTACTAGATAAAGTTATGCAATTTTTTTGTTTTTGTTTTTAAATAGGTACACAAGCCTCAAGTCTTTTTAGGAATGAGGCAGTGTAGATGAATATATAAAGTAAATAAATTTAACCAAGTGTTTATGATGGGTCTGAGCACAATAAGCAGGCTTAAAACCTTTTAAGAAACATATTGCTCAAAAAACGTTTGTTCACATTTTTCTCTAACATCATGTCACGTGAGTCTCTACATCTGATTTTACAGGATGGTTGCAGTTATTATTCCAGCTAGCTTTGTTAAAACATTTGTCATGCCGTTTAAAAGAACAGTGTAAGACAGAGGTACTGATCCTTCAACAAAGCATGTTTTATGCCACATTGACTGGTCTGCCCAAGTACTGATGGGAAGGGCTCTTAACACTCTTCAGTCTGATTGTTGAAACAGAGCTGTCCCAGTATGACCCAGAGGCAGGTCCGCATTGGAAAACTGAAGCATGTGATTTGCAAAAACATCAGGGTGTACTATAATTCTGCACAGAAATGGTGGGTTATTTGCAAAAGCACCACTATATATTCTGCTGTATCTATAAACGATTGGCCATCCCTGTGAATCTGAGAAGCAAGAATCATAGTTTCCTTTTTTTTTTCTTTTAAAGAAATTTATTTTCTCTTCAGTATTGAAACTATCCAAATCTGACAATTTATGCATTAGGTAGTTTTGTTTTCTCAGTTTTGGTCCAGCTTATTTCTAGTGGCTTAGACCTTGAATAATTTTAAGTTATGTTACCTATTTGAAATTATATTTACAGAGTGCCTTTTTTAAATAGATGCTCTTTTAACAAATTTTGTCATTTTTACAAATGATATATTCTAGTTTTTGTATATTTTCTTAATAATAGTGGTGTTCTTCAGATTTAAATGATATTGCCCAGATACGGACAATAGAACCAGGTATGGAGTGCATTTAAATATATTGTTTAGCTTATTCTAATAGGAGAAACATGAACAAAATAAATTAAAACCTGACTCTCCTCAGTGAAAGCACATGACTAGAATCAAAATAGTGAATTTGGACAATGTTGAACTTCAAATAATTTTCCCCAAACACCCTCTACCAACTTCTTAATTAGGCATAAGACATGGACATACAGTATTCACATGTTGGGTCTTTGTGTCCTGGGAAGATATGCCTGTCATCACATATGATAAATATTCATACAGAGGTTTTAAATCTCAAACAAGTCATCATCCTTGCCCCCCACCTCACCCACTCTTTATGTAAAAACTGTTATACTGACTTCTTTTTTCCCTGAAAGTTGAAAAATAGAATTTAAGAATATTGTAATGCTTTCTAGTCTCTGTTTTCTAAGTTCTGTATGTTATTGCTAAAACATTGCATTTTCTATGTTCTAATCAAGGTCATTTAACACCACTGTAAAGTAGAACTATTTAAGACGTTACAATAAAGACTAGTCTTTTTTTTAAATATATACCTATAGATTCTAATTTATGCAAATATATAGGGGCAAAATGTCAAAACAACACATGGTAACTAGAAGAGAAGATGGCCAACGAGAGAGGGATCATTTGACCATCTAATCATAACTTTCCTAGACTCATATTTAAGTACTACATTGTAGCATCCATATTTGCTGTGCTGACCATTGGAGAAGTGGTCTTCAGACCATCCTACTCTTTCATTATCCCTCTGAGGTCCTTTCTCTGGTTCCATACATTCTGTGCACTCTTTGGTTTGCCCAAGTCTCTTTGACTTGCTGTCTTTGGGTTTTTTAAGATCCCCCTTTTCTCTCATTAATCAGCATTTTAATAAAAAATTGGCCTACCAAAACCTTGGAGACCAAGGTTTTATTTTGAGCCACTGACTCGGAAGAACTCTGTCAGGTTGCCTTATACCTTGTCTTATCGAGATGGCATATTTGCATTTTAATAAGCTTTTTATGGAATCGGTCATCTTTATCCAAATTTGTGAAATTAGTGGTGAGAATCCAGTCTCTCTAGAAATTAGCTGTCATGTTGTGTACCAAGCTACACAGCCTTTGGGCGGCTTGGTTCTCCCTAATGTGGGTCTGGCTTTGCTTATTTGCCTCCAGTGATTCTGACATGCTTAATATTAAATGAAAGGTCCTGGAACACATGTTTATTTTAGTCACCTTTGCTTTTTAACAATGTGTTTTGTTTTATAATCAGTGAATAATTCATGCCGTATTATTGTTGAATAATGAATAGCTACAGGGCCAGGCTTTTAATTCTAAGTAATGCTTTTCTTTTCTCTTACTGAAACAATGACAGTACTCTGTGCCTTTCTAGTGCACTCAGATTATGCTGTGGTTTCATTCACATAAGCATATTATGTGGTTTATTTATAACTTGATAAATTTGAAATAGAACAATTTACCTTGGCAGAAGTACAAAAGTTTATTCTTGTGTGACTTATTTTCTTTAAGCTGACAATATGAAAATAAATACATATCTTAAAAATCTGTAATAAAAATATTAGAAATTAAAGATGCGTGTTTTTTATTTTTTAGATTTTTTTTTTTTTTGTACATGCATTACTTTTCGGAAGTTCAGTACAGAAGACTGTCTGCTACCACTGTCCATGATAAAAGAGACAATTAAACAGTTAAGAGTTTTATTGGATTGTGTTTGTATATACATATATTTTGATATTGATACTAGTGGTGGTATGCTTTCCCTGGTGTACATAGAGCATTGTCTTAGGTGGTATGCAAATTAGTTAACAGATATCACAAACTGTAAGGGACTATTTAATTTTTGTTTTTCTTTGTTGGAGGTGAGTTTTAGAATTATATAGTTAAGGTTATCTTTATAAAATTCATATTTATTAAGTTTATTAGGCACTCTGGGGAATTTATCAAAATATAAAATGCTTTAGACTTAAAACATTTATAATCTCTGAACTTGTATAATAACATGTTTATTCCATTGTACTTTTAAATATATATTACATTATATCTAATGAATAAAATAACCTAGATGTAGATTTATCTACACAGTATCATAGGAAATTCTAATGTTTATCTCAGCACAGAACAAAGGAAGGCACTCTTAGGGCACCAGTCTGAAAATATGATATGGAAATTGTACATGGGTCAAAGAAAGAGGATAAAGACTGTTCTCTAAAAACCGGTATCATCAAGAATTAAGAACTTTCCTTCATAGAAGATAATTTAATTTATTGGAAAAGTTATCTGACACTTGGAAACAGCCAGAAGAGATTTTTTGAGTGTTCTTTCAGTGCAATGCTGGCCTTGCTTTTGTATTGAATGGTCTACTTAACAATGTTGTAGGGCAGAGGTTAATGTGTAGATTTTTATCCCATAGAGATGCAAATAAGTTCTGCCTGGTGGAAAAGACAACGCTAATGGTTTTACAGTTTATTATCTGTTGGACATTAACCAGTTTTATATCTAGTCTAACAATCTTATCCTGACATTGCCTGTAAATACTTAGCTTTTGAAGTACTCTTTGAAATGATTTTACCATCCTAGTGGTTCCCTTGCTAATGAATTATTTAAATAAAATCTTTGACATATGTTCATTTCACATTTGCATAGGAAATGGGGTTTTATCTTTTTTGAAAATTTTGCTTTTATAAACTTTTGACTACAGAGTCATATTTTATTTGCTTGAGAGTCATGTTGTTTAATTTTTGAAAAATTTACTTTAGCAATCTTTCAAAACACAGTTATTAAAGAACTGAATGGTACCATGTGATTAACATTTGGAGCTTATTTTCATTTAACTTTTAAATTTTTTAATGGTTATCAGTTGATTATCTAGTTCAAAAGTCTGACTCAGAAGGGCTTGCTGGCAGACTGTTTTGCAACCTATAAAAATGCCCATGGTAAGTGAATGAAGTCACAGAGAACTTTTCTTACAACAGCACTGCATATGATTAAATTAGTTCAACTTTTTTTTTTTTATCCTAGAAAGTTACCTTTTTACCATGATTCCTAAGTACATTTAGTTTCTTGATAAAAATGTGCACAATCACACATTAAGAAATCTCTATGTATCTTCTTTCTAAAAAAGTAATCTGTATTTCCTAGCAGTACTTGTCAAGATTTCTAAAGCTTTTGAGACAAAGAGCTAAAAAATAAAACCTCCCTTGTCAGTGGCTTTAATCACATGCTGCAGCATAGCTCGCTGTGCCATATTTCAAAAAGGCAAACTGGGCTGCAGAGAGTGGGACCAGTCACTAAATGAGACTGAAACAGCTGTGATTTTGCAAGATGTGCCAACATTTTCTTTAGCTCCAGGACACCAGACATTATTTGGCTCATAAAGTACCCTATGTTATTGGCTCAACTTCTGTTTAGGAGAACAAGAGATCTTGTTCTGTATCCTTGTTTGAGGCCCTCAGGGGTATTGAAATGGAGGTCAACATTTATTTTTTTTACCTCTTAGTAACTTAAAAAAATCAACTGTGATTCGGATACCCTTTCTAACTTTGTGAGAATTAAAATTTGCAAGATTCAGGTCTTTCTTAAGAGAATGAGGAAATAATTTACAGCCTCTCTTAAGAGTCAGCCTTCCAAATTTAATCAGGTAACAAGTGAGAGTTATAATATAGGACTTGTGTTTTGGTGACTCTTAGGACAAAGATATTTGCTACTGATATTGTGTCATTCATTTCCTTTGTCTTACGGTTGGTTGCAAGTAGAGATAGCATGTTGTGTTAAAAGAGGAGTGACATGGCAGCCTCTGGAGTAGCAAATTCCTAATTAAAGACACGAATTCTTAATTAAGTCTTGGCTTTAGCCTGGGCTACCTACTAGATAGATGTCAGTAGTAACATGCCTTCAAGTTGTGGCAACCAAAAATGTCTCCTGATAACTGCAAAATGTCTTCTTAGGTGGCAAAGTCATTCCCTGGTTGAGACCCATTAGTTCTTCATGTTTTAGTACATTCATTGATAGAAGTCTTCCATTAAAAAGTAAACCTTTTATTTTATTTTACTTTTTTTGGTCCTTTCACATTCAGCTATAAAGGAAAGTCCTTGTATAGACTATATTGCCACACTGTATGACATCACTCAGAGCTCTCTGAGGTCTGATGGTTTGGAGAAAGAGATCAATAAAAGAAGCCACATGATAGGAGGAAGAGACATATTAAGCTTTGCAATAAAAATTTTAGAAAAGTGAAGCATAAATCTAAGAGCCTATGACAAATTAAATATCAGGGTAAAAATTTTGGGATAGATGCTGGTTGAAGTAAAAGTGCTTGAAAATCTGTGCTCTTCCTCTGTCCCAGTGCCCAGTATCTATAGTCTTTGAGAAGATGCCTGGAATATAAAGAAATTGTACTCTTTCCAGGGACCTTATAGCCCTGTGGGAGCCTCCTCTGACAGAGGGTCATAAGAAGTGGAGGGTGTTACCTTACCAGCAGGAGGGGAAGAAGAGTAGCAAATTGCATTAGAGGGGACTTGGTCCTCTGTGATACAGTTAGCAGCCAACTGGCAGTGAAGAAGGGTAAATAGAAGAAAAGAATGGAATATCAACGGGGTAGGCTATGTGATGCTGTAATAACAAAATGCCATCAAATCTCAGTGGCTTAAAGCGATAAAGGTTGGTTTCTCACAGCATCGGTCCACCACAGCTTGGCAGGAGAGCTTTGCTTCCCATAAACACCTAGAGAACCAACCTGTTGAGGCAGCCTGGATGTTTCTATTTCTGTACCTGAGGGAAAGAATATTCTGAAGGGCTTTGCACTTTGCACTTTTGTCCAGGACAAAAACAGCGAATTTGAACTGTTTGTTAAGTAATGCTGGTAACTACAGCAGATGGTGACAACTGCAGTAGTGGCTCTGAGTATATTTGAGGCCAAACACGACCTAAATGTATTACTGTCTATCAACTAACCCTCTCCTTCGGGAATATCCTTGTGCTCCTGACACCACCTCAACTGACCTCTGCCTGGGCTTCCAGGCCATAGTTGATAGGTTCAGGGGTGTACATGTGACTTAACCCTGGGCCAATCACATCTCTTTATTCAGCTCTGTTTCCTGTCATAATTGGTTGGTTCAAACTGAACACCTGACCTAAGTAGGTCACTCAGAAAACTTGCCTCAGAATTTTAGAACGGATAAACAGAAAAAGAAACCAAGACCCAAGACTAAAGCAATAATGGGTAATGTTCTGCAGATCTTAGTCAGACGTTTCCTCTATGTGAGTGCAGAAAATTTAACGTAGATGGAATGAAACCCTGAGAGGTGTTGGCAGTTGAGATGGGGAAGTGTGGTATCTTGACTCCTTGGTGTTAGCTGTTCTGGAGGTCTGTTCCAATTTCTGGTTTCCTCAGAGTCCTTTCTTAATTCACCTTTTTGCTTCAATTTAATCTAGGTTGATAGCTTTTCTGATAATTGCAACCAATGGCAAATCTATAATTAGTTTCTAAGGTAATTGTGTCTTTTTCTAATTTATCAATTTTAGAAAG